GGTGGGTGTTGGTGGGGGTGTGTGTGTGTGTGTGTGCGTCTGTGTGTGTGTGTGTGTGTGTGTGTGAGCCTGTGTGTGTGTGTGTGTGTGTGTGTGAGCCTGTGTGTGTGTGTGTGTGTGTGTGAGCCTGTGTGTGTGTGTGTGTGTGTGTGTGTGTGTTCTGCTCCTGTAGCAGCGCTTGTCGCAGCTCCTCCAGCAGCTCCTCTCAGCTCATTCTGGGCAGACAGACATCACCAATCGATGAGACGATTCAACACAACTCAGCACAAAGAAATCGGTTCTCCTCCTCCTGATCCAGCAGGACTGAACTTCCTCCTCAGCATTTCATCACTTCTGGTTTCAAATCTAAGAAATTAGGGAAGTTTATCATTTTATTTCCTTTAATTAAAATAACTTTAAAACTTACTGACAGCTTGTGTCAAAACTCTGAATTACATTTTCTTTTATTTGTTGAATTATTTTATTTTATTATTTATTTTCTCATTTAATTCTTATTATTTTTAAACTACGATTTACGCTCGTTAATGGATCGGTTCTGGTGGTTCTGCTGGGTCTCATTAGCCAAATCATGGGGATCGGACCCGAAACAGATTAAACACAGAGCGGTTCAGAAGGTCCGGATCAGCGGAGCAACCAAAAGGTTCTGTCAGCGTTTCTGAACTGGACTGGGTTTAATGACCAGAACCGCCTGATGAGCAGCCGCTGAGTCGGCACTCCGTCCTCTGGATCAGAACCACTCTCCTGCTACTCGCCTCAGAACCGACCGACCCAGAAGCCTCTCAGGCTGAAACTCCTCAAACGTTCTCCATGTTTCCGATGAAATCATCCAGGTTCTGCTCCGGGTTTGGTCAGATCCGGGTCTCTGCTCCAGAACCAGAAGATCCTACTGGTTCTGCTTATCCCGCCTCTAATCCTGCCTGTGGTTCTCTCCACAGTTCTCCCCATTCAGTCGGACCGTTCTGGCCTCCTGCTCCTACGACTTCACCGTCCGGTAAGTTCCGATTCCGGTCCGGGTCGGGTTCCGGTTGCGGTTCTGTTTTAGACGTCTGAAAGAAGCGCAGCCTTTAAACCAGGGGTGTCCAAAGTGTGGCCCGTGGGCCATTTATGGCCCTTGAAATGATTTTGATTGGAAAAGCAAAAACAGTAAAAAAAAATTTCCAAAGTAGAAAAACTGACGACCAAAACAGAACCAGTGGCAGACTGAAGTTCTGTCTCTGTTCTGGATCCTTAATGACGTACTGCTTTCACAAAAACTGTTCTTTATTGAGCTGGTAAACTAAAATGACAAATTTTTACATTGATGATGATGGTGATGATGATGATGGTGATGATGATGGTGGAGTGTGGGATGAAGATGAATCATTTCAGGCTTTGCTGCTCTGGGAAAATATCCAGAATAATAGAAAAATTATAAATTTATTAAATAATCCAGAATAAGTGGAGATTAATTTTTATTTCCTTGATAATCTGGGTAACACTTTATTTGAAGGGGTTGAATAAGACTGACATGACACCTGTCATAAACATGAATATGGGTTAGGGTAGGGTTAAATCATTACTGATATAAATTTGTTATAAAAGTATTACTGATTGCACTTTAAAAATGAGGTAACTTTATGTTATTAAAGGTAAAGTTTAAACAGTAATGATTTCTTGGTTAATGTCAAGTTGTCATAACAAAGACATTTTGAATAATGTCAACTTTGTATCAAAAGTGTCATAATTTACCGAATGACGCTTTATGACAACAGTCATAAATATTCAT